ATTATTTCTATTCTTCTTTATTGTACTGAATAGTATTCCACTTGTGTGTGTGTGTGTGTGTGTGTGTGTGTGTGTGGTGTGTATATATGTATCTCATATCTTCTTTATCCATTCATCTGTCGGTGGGTATTTGGGTTGTTTCCATGAGGGGAATATTTTTATAGTTAAATCTTTGCATACAGTCATGAAAATCCCTTAAGATATCTGTTTAAAAAGTAATTTTCAGTCACTCATTATTATTATTAGTCACTCATTCTTTTTATCCTTCATAATGCTTATCATAATCTGAAATTATTTTAGTTGTATTTTTACTTGTATATTTCCTGTGCTATCATTGGAATATAAGCTCCATGTTGTCAGGGATCATGTTTATCTTGTTCATTAGTGCCTTATTTCTATACATATATAAGCAAAGGAATAAATGAAGGAAGCCAGGATGAAGACTAGAAAGGAGTGGCAGGCAAGGCTGAGGAGGTAGACAGCAATCAGCTGATAGAGGGGTAGCAATTCATAAACTTTAAATATGCATCAGAAATACCTTCTGATTCTTCATACCAGCTTGGAGTCAAGAAGCAGATTCTTGGACCCTGTGATTGTGATTCAGTAGGTCTGAGTTTGGGCTCAGGAATCTACATTTTAACAAGTTCCCTAGGTGATTTGGGTACAAGTGATCTGGAGACCCCACTTTGAATAACACCAATGCACTGTTGATATCACTTTCAGGAAGAACCACATAGCCATGATATCATTTCTCCTTAACACATGCCTAGGATGGAACAGAAAGGACCATCACCCCATTTTATCAAATTAAATGAGGCTCAGAGATGGCAGTGCATTTTCCAGTGACACACAGCTTGTGTATAAAGTATACTTTGAAAGGCCAAACTGGCTGGACAGTCAGCTCAAGGTGTGGTGGCAGATGGCTCACCCTCACAGGACATTCCCAGGCCTTGGTGTTACTGAATGGATTTTATGATTGTTTCTATTTTTTGTTTGGGGAAGAGGTTATATTCCCTAATGACTGGCTTTTTCTGATGTATCTCAGGGAGGGCAATGAGCCAGAGGAGACCACCCAAATCACATACCGTGAGCTTCTGGTCCAAGTGTGTCAGTTCAGCAATGTTCTCCGAAAACAGGGTGAGTGTGGGGTATGGGGAGAGGCTGGAGGGTCCAGCCTTGGGGTATCTGAGGACTTGGGGGAAGCAGACAAGGAACAGAAGGAACCTGGTAACAGGGGAACAGAAAAGGTCAGCTAGGGGGTAGCTGGATGAGAGAGAGCAAGTAGCAGCAGGAAGGGTCCACCATAGTCCATGGTCTGTGTGCTTTACCTGCAGGCATTTGGAAGGGTGACCGAGTGGCCATCTACATGCCCATGATACCGGAGCTCGTGGTGGCCATGCTGGCGTGTGCCCGCCTTGGGGCTCTACACTCCATTGTGGTAGGAAATTGGGTTGGAAAAAGGGACCCAGTTGGGGAATGGGGCTCAAGAGAAGTAGGTTGGGCCTGGATGATGGAAGATCTTAAGAACCAGACTAAGGAGTTTAGAATGTTTGTGTCATAGGTTCCTTATCAGTTAACCAGTTTCTTCTAGGACCTTCGCTTAAAGACCCTGAAGGTTTTATGAGTGACTCCTTTCCCTGTTTACTCAGTCTCTGAGTCTCCCTCTCCCTCAGTCTTTGTTTCCTTCCCTAGTTTGCAGGCTTCTCTGCAGATTCTCTTTGTGAACGGATCCTGGATTCTAGTTGCAGCCTTCTCATCACTACAGGTGACTAATTCTCTCACCCTTTCTTTAAAACCCCTGCACCCCAAGTCTTGGTCTCCAGTCAGCTAGTTGGTATTTGGGATTCAGGACAGCCTACCCTTTATCTCCTGGTTCCACCTCAGCCAACCCCCTGTCAGCTCAAATCAGCTGGAAGAGCCTGAGTCAAAAGGCCCACCCAGGAAGGACTGTGAACACTGTGCTTACTAGGGATAAGGGGCTAGGAGTGTGATGCCTTCCTAAGGCCTGGAATGTTTGTTGCTCCCCAAAGACGCCTTCTACAGGGGGGAAAAGCTTGTGAACCTGAAGGAGCTGGCTGATGATGCCCTGGAGAAATGTCGGGAGAAGTAAGTGTGTTTGGTTTATTGGCTACTGCTCTCAGTTGACTGGGCATTTCCCCAGTGCCAGGTCCCCCTTGTCCCCTCTACCCTTGATGGACATGGGCAGGTCCTGCCAAATTCTCTCTTGAGCCAACCACCCACCACTTGAGGCTTTTCTTTCCTCCAGGGGTTTTCCAGTGAGATGCTGCATTGTGGTCAAGCACCTAGGGCGGGCAGAACTGGGCACAAGTGACTCTCCCAGCCAGTCCCCCCCAATTAAGAGGCCATGCCCGGATGTGCAGGTGAGTCTGGTACTGCTATGCCCTCCTCTGGGCTCAGAATTGCTCCCTCTTCCTGCCTAAAAGTTCCTAATGTCCTTCTTTGTTTCCTCATCATAATGCTGAGGATCTGGGAGCAATCCTAGGAATGGCTTCTCTGGCAGGGATGGCTGGGAACTGGGACCTTGAATGTAGGTATGGAACCCCTTGTACCTTGGGAACTTGACATGAGGGATTGTGAAGAAGATTCTCATGCTGGTTGAGGTATTCTGATGGGCACAAGGGACCTTCAGGGCTTGGGCATGGGTTAAAATGGGCTGATTTGGGTAGCTATATGTAGTCATCTTATTATTGGGCTGTGGCTTGGGGTGGGCTAATTGTGCTGTCCCACCATAGAAGGACCAGGATCTGGACCTCAAGATATGGTCCTTGTTAGCTTTGGATTCAGTGCTTCTGGTGGAAATGGTGGAAGAGCATTGGTGGCCCAATGGAGGCCTCCAGGTCTAAGGAACATGAAGGGTGAAAGCTCCAGGGTTTGGAAGGACAGAGGGTTCCTGAGATTCTGTGACTTGAGGGGCTCTGAGTGGTCTTAAGGCTCTGAGTGGACTTCAGTCTCATCTAGGGAGATTGGAGACCCCTTTCAGCATTAGAGGCTCTGAGTGTACAGTGACTATGAATAGGATCAGGAAAATGGAGGCTGGAAGGACCAGTAAGAGGGGTACCTGAGGGAAAGGGGGCAGCCAGAGGTTTGGGGCACACTGACCCCTCCCTCCCACTCCCCTATACTTGAACCCTGCTCACCTCCCTTTCCATGGGCTCTTAACAGGGTAAGCTGAAAGAGAAACCCAAGCGCATTTGGCCCCAGGTATCCACTCTGCACTGCCTTGGGCACTGCTTCCCTGCGTGCTTGTTTGTGTGTCCATCTGCTCTTTGCCTGTTTGCCCCACTGAGGTGGCTGCCAGACCTAACCGCCTTCTCTCTGCCCCTGGGTCCTTTGCTGACTAAGTCATTCTGAAGGGTTGTGAAACCAAATGCCTGTTGCTGTCTCTCTGAATCAGCACAGAGCATGGATCTCAGAGTGGTAGCAATAGACATCCCATTTCACTCCTTCTGCTCAGGACCACTGTGGGAGAGAGGACAAAGTAACCTGTCAGAAAGTTTTTACTGCGCACCTAGCTGGGGCAGAGCCAGGAGAGACAGGAGGAGAAACAGATAGAGGAGGTACTGACCCTGACCTAGGGAATCCACCATCAAGTTAGATATGCATTACAAATGAAAACCTAAGTCTTATATAGGGCAGCAGAGAAGGTTCTTAAATATATTTATAAACTACTTTGGGATTTACAAACTGCACGTAAACTCTCTGATATAACTAAATGCTAAACTGAACAAAAATTACATTGTAGGTGGTTCTAAGAAGAGAGATCTCTAAGTGGGCACTCAAAGCAGATTAGTATAAAAGAGAGACTGGGCTTGGAATCCAGATACCAGTTTTTAGCTGTATGACTTTGAATGAGTCACTTCAGCTCTCTGGGCTTCAGTTCCCTTATCAGTAATGGAGAGATGATAATACATGCTCAAAAGGAACCTGCTTCCCTCACTAAAACAATACATAAAAGCCAATATTCCACTGAGTTTTACCATCCTCATACGGTGTCTTACTCTAAAGCTGCTATGATCAACCTCTTAGGCTTATAATAAATATAAGCCCCCCTTTTCTGTATTCTCATTAGCATGGTGAAGACAGATCTGATTCCTAGGGGACGCTGCTTTCCTTTTAAAACTTAGGCAGGGACCTAAGATCTTCTCTTGAAAGAGGAAACAAACTTAGCTGTTAGAGTAGGCTCTGGGGCCAGACTACTTGGGTTCAAGTCAAGGCTCTGTCACCTGCTGCTGTTGGAGCTTGGGCGAGGTGCTTAAGCGCTCTTGCCTCAGTTTCCGCATCTGCAAAATAAGGACAATAATTGTACCTACCTGATAATTGTGCCTGTCAATATATGTAAGGCGTTTGGCACATAGCAACTATTCCATAAATGTTAGCTGTTATTGTTTCTGACATAGCAGACAGGCTGGCATTTCTAAAAGGGAATCTAGAAAAGAAATAAACTCTTGTAATTTTTTTTAATTCTTATTTTTTTATTGACGTGTAGTTGATTGACAATGTTAAACTCATAATTCTTAATACCCTCAGGCCACAGGCTCCTGAGTTTTTGTTTCTTGGAAGTGAAAACAAATTTTACCAAGACACTAAAGACCATAAAAATAAGCTTACAAAGTTCAGGTTTGTTGGTTTGAGAACTGCAGTAAAAGCTGCAGAAATATTGGCAAAGCTTCAAACCCCCTCATCCTTAAGCAATATTCAAGGAAGGGCCTGGCACAGTTGGCAGAGACCCTTCTCAGCCATAACACGCGTGAGCTTCCTCATGTTCCTCTCTCACACCTGGCAGCTGCCCTCCCTGAGGCTATCCTGGACCAATAAGGCCAACTCCTCTCTTCTTATTTCAGAAAATCCAAACCTCTTCCTGCTTCAAAGCTCTGGGCCCTTATAAGTATACACCTAATTCACAGCCAGCATTTGTGCCACTAATTTAGCTCACTTTGCTTCCTGGTGCTGGTTATCTGCTCCACACCTGGAATACCCACCGCACCCCTTCTTACCACACACCCACAAAGGAAACAGTTTTATAAGATTGCAAGAGTCCCCTCATTGCCACAGTGTAACTATGCCTTGCCCTTACATGTACCTAGTACTTTTTTTATGATAATCCACACCAGCACTGTAGACCAGCCCCATTTGCCTAAAGCAATATTGACACACTTCTGCTTAAATACTATTCTCATCTCAAGTAGATTGTTTGGCTGGGAAAAAAAAAAGACTATGTGACAATGTATGTGTAGACCCATATAGCTATTCCAATTAAAAAATAGGGTGTATTTTTATGTTTTCTAGCTTCTGAGCAGCTTTTCTCCTTTTTCTTCTTTTTTAAAAATTTTTTTCTAAATTAAAAAAAATTGTTTATTTTTTGGTGGCAGAGATAATTAGGTTTGTTTGTTTGTTTGTTTATTTGATGGAGGTACTGGGGATTGAACCCAGGACCTCATGCATTCTAAGCAGGTACTCTAACACTGAGCTATACCCTCCCCTCCTTCTTTTTATTCTTAATGGTGTCTTTCTTGGCCTGAACTTGTCATTCTTATGCTGCTTATGTGCCAGAAACTTCAAATTCTCCAGAGTAAGGGACTGATAATACATAAAGAGAGGAGTGGTAATTTTATCATTTATGAAAGCATGTGTCTAACACTCTGGGGTTTTAAAGCCACATATGCCCGCAATAAATTACCATCTAGCCATGTAATGGGGATAGAGTGTTTCTTGTACACTATCATGCCTACCTACCAGCCAGGACCATCTAACAAGAAGCTAATTAATATGAAAGTTTTGTAACAGCCAAAGCAAACCCATCATCATACTCTCATTTCACCTCCCAAAGGAGTTCAGTGGAACTGAACTAACTTCTTACCTTCCTGACATTTATCAATCTTCCCTACTCCTTATGATAATACAAGGCTTGATGGTCACTAGGTAATAAAGTTCTCTTTTGATGTTCCCCAAATCCTGTGAGAGCATTAGGGCAAGAATGACTATCATTTTAAAAAGGAGTGACTTGAGATAGAGTGACTTGCCCAAGGTCATATATAGCTAGGAATTGGCAGAACTGAGAATTGAAATCAGTACAACTTTTGGACGATTCAGAGAATTCAACGTCACTCAGCAAAGAGTAGACTCAGAAAACTGGTTTTTCAAAGAGGTGATATAACCAGGAAAGTAAAACAATTTCAAGGAGAGTTGAGAAAAATTTCAGGATGACGGATCCAGAAGTAGTTATCAAAGGCACTCTAATATAGAGGGACATCCCTCTACTGGGAGAAGTCCACTTTGGTCCTTTTCCACCAAGCAAAATAAAGCAAGGTTTCCTCCTGAAGGGAACCTCAAGCAAGTGTCTTTATGAGAAACCCATTGGTACGGGTGGTGTAAAGGCAAGGGCGGAGCTGGGGTAGGAAACTTCAGATGTGGATGAGGTCTGGACATACAAGAAAGGATGCTTGGACCAAGATCCGTTGACTTATTTTGCTACTAACTAATGGGGCAAGGTGCCCGCCTCACCTGCAGGCTCTGACTAATTTTGCATTTCTGAATTGTGTGGTGTCCACATTCCTACTGATGAGCCACTAGTCCCTTAAGTACATATGTGTGTGTGCAGGCCTGTGTGTGCATATTCATTCATCCAGCAAAATTTTACTGAATGCCATTTGAGTGCTAGGTATTTTGCTAGGTGTTGGGATGTAGGGAAAAAAGTACAGACAGATCTGCCACAAAACTCATAGAGATCACTATCTAGTTGGGGAGACAGTAATCAAGCAAATAACTAAATAAAATGATTGGAAGTATGTGCTGTGTGGGAAAGAAATATGGTGCTGTGATCAGGAATAATAGCAGGGGTGAAGGTGGGAGTGGGAAACTATCAGATACTGTTCAGGGAAAGCCTTCCCAAGAAGGTAACATTTAAGCTAAGAATTGAAGAATGAAAAGGGACCAACCAAGGGGCCCACCTCAGGTCAGGTGAGGGGAGCTCTGGGGCAGGGTGCTGAGAGTACCCAAGAAGCCTACTGTTCTGCTTCTGTTTTCTCTGCCCCAGTCCACCCTCACAGGGCCCTTCCTCCCTCCCTCCCAGCACCCCCATCTGCCACTACCTCTCTAGGTGCCTGGTAGGGGTGTCTCCTGCCCCCTTCTTGAGCTGTTCACAGTTCTTCCCTGCCCATTCCTCTCTTCCTCCCCCTACAGATCTCCTGGAACGAAGGAGTTGACTTGTGGTGGCATGAACTCATGCAAGAGGCAGGGGAGGAATGTGAGCCTGAGTGGTGTGATGCTGAGGACCCACTCTTCATTCTGTACACTAGTGGCTCCACAGGCAAACCCAAGGCAAGTGTGTGTGTGTGTACACTGTGTAGCGGTGAGAAGTGAGTTTTTGAGGAAGCATGTAATGATACGAATTTAGCTCTGCAACTCTGAGTTTCAGAAATGTCTCATTACCTTTCCTAAATCAAATTAAGACGTGAATCCTCAGTTACTGATGATGAGGCCTAGGATGAGACAATTTAGGTGGGAGCCTCTGTGATGCCCAGAAAAGGATAAAAGGATCAATCTATGTGGCTGATACCCCCATGCCCACATGGTTTGGTTGAAGAGGAGATGCCCTGTAAAGTCAAGGCCAAGAGCAGGCACAAGGATCCCCCTATGCCTCCTAGACTACAGCTCTTAGAGTTCAGTCCCTTTCATGTGCCACACTATTAATATCTAGTCCCTCCCAGGACACAGTGTGGGAGCCAGGAACACATAAAACTCTAGCTCTTCCATTAACTGGAAAGATACGTCTCTCTAACTTCCACTCATATCATATATAAATTCTTCTGCGATATGCCTTGGAATATTCCTCAGTGGGCCTTTAGAGACAAAATTTTGGCCTGTCTTTCCTTGGGACGGCATGTTGATGGAGTAAGCAAAGAAGATTGTCTTTTTTTCCACTCTCACTCTGTCAACATGTAATTGAATGTGTGTGCACAAACACACAACAGAGATCCTATTAGAGTTGAGTGTGCTAGAAGTGTTCATGTGTGTGAGAGTAATGTGGGTGGCTCAGAAATACTTAGGTTGTGGGTGTGAGTGATGGGCTGACTGTAAATGTGCATGGGGTGTGAGATGGGAACATGGAGAAAAGGGGATGGAAGAGAAATGGAACCTGTGAAAGAGATGCTGGCAGGGCCTGAATCCCTGAAGAGGATCTTCCTCTAGCTCTGTCCAGCTACATTTGGTAGTCAGTGGGGGTGAGCCCAAGGCCCCAACCTGAGGCCCTATTCTTTCCCCAGGGTGTGGTACACACAGTTGGAGGCTACATGCTCTATGTGGCCACAACCTTCAAGTACGTGTTTGACTTCCATGCAGAGGATGTGTTCTGGTGCACAGCAGACATTGGCTGGATCACTGGCCATTCCTATGTCACCTATGGGCCACTGGCCAATGGTGCCACCAGTATTTTGGTAAGAAGGGTACTGGGACCTATGGCTACCTGGTCTACTTTGGGGATGACAAGATGATCCTGGGTGATGACCTCCCAAGGCCACTTGGTTTAGAGGCGGGGGACTTATACAATGACCTGTTTCCTGGAGAGAGGAGTTCTTAGGAGGTTGTATATCCTGACTGGGAAGGTCTCTTGGCTTGTCTGATAAGAGAGTGAAGACATGAGTTTGTCAGAAAGGGTAAAATACTGAGCCTGAGGGTATGGTAGGGGAATGGAGGGACTATTGAGAAGGACCAAAAGTGACCAGACTTTACTGGGGTCAGTTTGAGGGGATTCCCACATACCCGGACGTGAGCCGCCTATGGAATATCGTGGACAAGTACAAGGTGACCAAGTTCTACACAGCACCCACGGCTATCCGTCTGCTCATGAAGTTTGGAGATGAGCCTGTTACCAAGTGAGACCACTCCGCAGCTGCTACTATGGGTGCCCCTCAAAGCTGGGTGCTGGCCTTTGTGCCCAGTCTTTTCCATTCCATTTTTCTGAAATCCTGGCTTGGTATAGGGGAGGGGGCGGGAGAAGAGCCTGCACATGTCTTCCTGGTTCCCAGTGGTGCTCAGAGCCTTCTTCTCTTCACACTCCCCTGCCCAAGGCACAGCCGGGCATCCTTACAGGTTCTAGGCACAGTGGGTGAACCCATCAACCCTGAGGCCTGGCTCTGGTACCACCGGGTGGTAGGTGCCCAGCACTGCCCAATTGTGGACACCTTCTGGCAGACAGAGACAGTGAGTAAGGGATTCAGAAGGCTGGGGCTCAGGGACATTGTGGGACTACTGACTCAGACCCCTGATCTCTGACTTCCACAGGGTGGCCATATGCTGACCCCCCTCCCTGGTGCCACACCCATGAAGCCTGGTTCTGCTGTGAGTAAGGCTCCCTTGGCTGGTCCTGGGCTAGGTAGGAGTAGAGTCTCTGGGCATTTGACATAGGTAGAGGGCAGGGAACTGGACTGATATGTGTGAGGAATGTGGGGCTCTGTGACTCCTTGGGAGAGGTAGAGAGTTGAGCCAGCCTTGCCTGATTCCTCTCCGTGGGTCTCCTGTTTGCTTCTAGACCTTCCCGTTCTTTGGTGTAGCTCCTGCAATCCTGAATGAGTCTGGGGAAGAGTTGGAAGGTGAAGCTGAAGGTTATCTGGTGAGAACCTGGCCCTTGGGGAGGTCTTTGAGAAGGGGAAGGGTCCACGAAAAGGTGATATACTTTCCTTTAGAGTTTAGAACCTAATCTTTCCTGGTAGCTGCTTTTGGCTAAAGCTCTATGCTGGAGGGTTCATCATCTGCAAAGAGACCCTAGGAGGAATCCTTCTGGATACTTTGTGTGCCTCTGCCTTTTGGCCTACAGGGCTCTTAAGGGCTCTGCTCAAAGATACCTGATGGTGCCGTTTGGGTCTGAAAGAGTGGAAAATCATATAGGCTCCAGAGTCAACCTGCCTGGGTTCAAATCCTGGCTCTGTCTCTTCTGTGACCTTAGATAAGTTACCTAAATTTTCTCATTTGTAAAATAGGGTTATAATAGTACCTCTGTCTCCTATGGTCACTGGATTGATTAAATTAGATAGTCCATGTGAAGGGTTTAGCACAGAACCTAAAAGTTAGTGCTTGATAAATGTTAGCTGGTGTTGTTGTGATTGTGGTATTAGTTGTAGGGATGTCATTAGCCCCACTCTCCACTCTAGTTTATTTTTACTAAGAGCAAGTTAGTAACAAGGGCAGGACTTGAATCCAACTCTTCTCACTGTTAGCCTAGAATTCTGTTCATCCCATCAATCTGCTGCCACAGGACATTATTGATAGGGGCAATATTTATTTACTTATATGTGAGTCCCACATTTTCATATGATTGCTTTCACTTGCATCAAACTGGACCTGCATCCCTGAGGGATTACTGAAAAAGAGTCAAATTTACTGAATGCTTACCATTAAGAACATTGTGCTAGGTAACTTCCACATACTATTAATTTAATTCTTCCAATAACTTTGGGAGGTAGAAATTATTTTCTCTGATTTACAGATAAGGATCCTGAAGCCCAGAGAAGTAAAGTTACTTACCCAAGGTCTCACAGCTAGTAAGTGGCAGAGCTGGGATTCCAAGCCTGGATTGTCTACCTCCAAAGCCTGTACTTTGTCTTACTTCTCAGGAATAGTATTCAGGATATTTCTTCTCATGTTTGGCAAAGCTGTGATGTTTTCCTGTGAGACACGGTAGCAGATGTAACCATTGTGCCTTTCTCACTCTCCAGGTGTTCAAGCAGCCGTGGCCAGGGATCATGCGCACAGTCTATGGGAACCATGAACGCTTTGAGACCACTTACTTTAAGAAGTTTCCTGGGTACTATGTGACAGGAGATGGTGAGCTTTGGCTATCCCCTTCCCACAGTTCCCACCAAGACACATACCTTCCCCTTTCATTTTCAAGAAGAGCTGGTTAGGGATGTGTTCTATGTATCAGTGTCTAATATCCAGTCTGAGCTACAGAGAAGACTATAAGAATAGAAATGAGTGTTGAAGGAAGGCTCTCAGCATGGTGCCACCTGAAATTTGATGTATGAGGGAAAAGGTTCTTATTTCCATTGCTCCTGAGCTAAAAGAGATGGGGTATACGGCAGTGTATATTACTATGTCATGTGTATCCCCATGTCTGGAACCCATGTTTGCCCTTGTATCCATCCACCAGTCCATTCTTCCATAACTATTTATTGAGCACCTACTACGTCCAGGTACTTATCTACGCACAGGGGATATTACTATGAATAAGGTAGGTAAGGCTTCTGCTCTCATGGGGCTTACATTCTAGTAAGGGGAAACAGACAATAAATTCAGCAAACAAACAAGTAAGTTTATCTTGATAGTGGTAGGTGCTCTGAAGAAAAACAAACAGGGTAATAGGATAAAGAGTCTTCAGGGATGGCCACTGTACATGGGGTGGTGACAGAAGGTTTTTCTGAAGTAACATTTGACCATAGAGACCTAACAGCTGAGAAGGAGCCAAACACGGGAAAATCTGGAGTAAGAGTGAATGTCCTGTGCTGGAGAGATACAAGCTCTGAATGCCTGAGGAACAGATTGAAGCCTGTGTAGTTGGAGTGTAGTGAGCAAGGGTAAGAAGGTTATACCAAGTTGAAGGAGATCATTTGGGCCTTGTGAGCCATGGTGAGGAGTCTGGATTTTATCCAGTGTGGGAGAGTGGGAGACCTTTAGGGGTTTTAAGCAGTGAAATGCTAGGAATTTACAAATTACCCCTAAACCTGGCAGCTTAAAACAACAAATAAATTATCTTATACAGTGTCTGAGGGTCAGGAATCTGTGAGTGGCTTAACTGGTGGTTCTCATTCAGAATTTCTTATGAGTTGCAGTCAGCTGTAGTCAGGGTTGCAGTTATCTGAAGGTTTGAGCCTGGAGGACACACTTCCAAGCTCACTCATGTGGCTGTTGGCAGGAACCCTGAATTCCTTGCCACATGGACCTCTTTACAGGGGCTACTCGTAACATGGCAGCTGGCTTCCCCCAGAGCAAATAATCTGAGAGAATGCAACCAAGACAGAAGCCACAGCATCTTTTATAATCTAATCTCAGAAATGACTTTCTATCATTTCTGCCAAATTTTACTCATCGCACAGAAGAACCTTCTACAATGAGAAAGAGGACTACACAGGGGTATGAATACCAGGAAGTTGGCATCAGGGTGGCCATCTTAGAGCCTGACTACCAGAGCAGGCAAGAGTAGAAGCAGTAAGACTTGTTAGGAGGCTGTTGCAGTGGGCTTGGCAGTTTGGTAGTGTGGATCCTGTATCCTACTGTTGGGCATTTATTATGTCATGCATTTCTTCTCTTCCCAGGCTGCCGGCGGGACCAGGATGGTTATTACTGGATCACTGGCAGGATTGATGACATGCTGAATGTATCTGGTGAGGGCCAGGGACCATTTTCCCTTCTCACTAGCCCTGTTCTACCAGCAATCCCAGCCAAAACTTTCTGAGGGAGCCAGGATATCCTTTGGCCAGACCATGCCTGGAGTGCAGCATTCGGTTCTGGACCCAGGTTTTGGAAGAAGAGTAGTAAGCAATGGAACATACCTGGAGGAGGGGAACTGGGATGGTGGGACAACTGAAGTATGTCTTATGAGGAATGAATGAAAGGCCTTCCCCACTTGACCAGACCAGGACTACCCTGTTGGGACAGATAGAGCAGGGGCTGGGATCTCTCTCATGGCACTTCCTTCCCCTTGACAAGGACACCTGCTGAGCACGGCAGAGGTGGAGTCAGCACTTGTGGAACATGAGGCTGTCGCAGAAGCAGCTGTGGTTAGCCATCCTCATCCTGTGAAGGGCGAATGCCTCTACTGCTTTGTCACCCTGTGTGATGGGCATACCTTCAGCCCCACCCTCACTGAGGAGCTCAAGAAGCAGAGTAAGGAGCTTCCCTGGGCAGGGATTTGGGTCTGTCCTAATGGCCCAGTTACCACAGCAGGTTGTTAGGGGCTGTAGTGAGCTGCTTCCCAAACCACAAACAGATTCCCAGGGCATCTTCCCAGTCTCCACTAGGATAAAAAAAATTCTATAGAATTCTTTCCCTGTGCTACCACTGGGCTAAATGCTTTAAATGCATTAATCCATTTAATCCCTATAATCACCCCCATGAAATAGATCCTATTGTTACTCTTATTCTAAAGATGAAGAAATTGAGGCTCAGAGAAGTTAAATCACTTGTCCAAGGCCACACTGCTAGTAAAGTGGAATTTCAACTAGCAGGCAGGTTCTAGAGCTTGAGTTCTATGAAGGTGAATTAATATAAAATGAGACAGTAAAGGGACAATGTGTTAACAAGAAAGAAAGACAAAAAGTGAGCCTGAGAATGATTGTGGGCAAGGCCTTGAAGAGAAAATAGGTGGGGAACAAAGCCATCTCTACCTTGGCTTTTGGAAGCCTGGCTAAGGGTACTGGAAAAATGCATGATTTGTTGGTTTCAGTTAGAGAAAAGATTGGCCCCATTGCCACACCGGATTACATCCAGAATGCACCTGGCTTGCCTAAAACCCGTTCAGGTATGTTCAGAAGCCTCCAGCGATTGGGATTGGCCAAGGCCTAGTGGTGGCAGAGTGTGTGGATGGAAGCCTTTGGTAGGGCTGGAGTGGGTCAGTGCTGTCACCAGGTGGTTACCAGAAGTTTGTGGTTCTCCTAGGGAAAATCATGAGGCGAGTGCTTCGGAAGATAGCCAAGAACGACCACGACCTGGGGGACACGTCCACTGTGGCTGACCCATCCGTCATCACCCAGCTCTTCAGCCACCGCTGCCTGACCACCCAGTGAACAAGACCCTGCCCTTTACCCAGGATTCCCCTTGCTTGGCTTTCCAAAGTTTTGCCCACCCTCCTTGCCCATATCCAGGAGTACCAAGGGCCAGTACTGACCCACGCCACCTCCCGCAACCAACTGTCTGAGATCAAGGACCAGCTTTGCCTCTGGGTGGAGGCAACTACCTGTGACTGCCAGGCAGATGGGACAGGGCCCAGGTCAGCCTCAGGTTGCTGTGCCCCTAGACTGCAAAGAGCCCTTGGAGCCCAGAACAGGGACCTGAAGGTCATGTCCCCAGTTAAGTGTTCAGTGGGCAAGTGAGGGCATAGACTGAAGCAGGGAAGCAACTCTATAATCCTATGTCAGCTCTCTCAGGAAACACCAGGACTTATCTTGGGCATGCACTTGCCCTTAGACATGCCTATCTGTGAGTTCTGGAACAATTGATTATTATTTTTTTAAACACTTGCTGCTTCTGTTGTGGGTCTGAATTCCCTTTTGTGCCACATGGCAGTGCTTGTCTGCCAATTTGCTCCAGGGGCTGCACAGTCAGGCTCAGTTGCCGGAGGGTTTTCAGATCATCTGTGTCTTTGCAGGAATAAATGTGGTATGTTCCTAGGACCAGAGGAGCTTGCTTTTCTTGTCCTCTATTCCTCCCCACCCCCTGCCCCCGGAACAGAGTCTTGCTCACTCTCAGATGAAGTTTTCTTTTCTTGTCCCAGTCGTACTCAAGCCCTGTGGCTATAGGAATAAAGCCTGTGACCTCAAGAAGGTGCTGACTTGTTCTCTCGGGTATCCTACAGGCTGTATACTTGCTAACTGTTCTGATTTGTGTGGGGGATGGGAAGGTATTCCCCAGGAATATCCCAATATTCTCCTTCCAGAACTTTTGGTTTAGGCAGAGCTAGGCAGGGCTTCACTCACAGGTCCTTTAACAAGCTCCTGGGCTAAGCAAGAAAGCAACTGAAGCCAGAATACAATTGTGATGTCCCATTATGGTTGCCTTCCCTCCTGGGTTCCTGCCAGAAACCCTCTCTCTTCCCTATGATCCTGTCGGAGCATCAGTGAGTGACTAAGGATTGGAATTTCAGGGTCCTATCCATAGGGTCTGGGGCTAGGGAGACTCTGATTATACCTTTTCCATCCCCTAAATGCACAAACCAAGGAATCACAGAATCATCAAAGTAGTTTTATTTAAGGCAGAGGTGGGGAAAGTCTGTGCCCATCCACCCTTTTCCTCCTACCCCTCAGTCATCTCAAGTCAGACAATGGAACCTGCTGAAAAGGCTGATGAGGGGCTGACAGGAGGGTGGCAGGGTTACGGACCCTTACCTCAGATCAGCTGCTTTTCAGCTATACCCACACCCTGAGGATTTAGGGGCTTCTAGATCTCACCTAATGGAAACAATTTTTCTGGTCCTCAGGTGGGAGAGCTGGGGGAAGGTACCCAGCATTCACCCTTCCATGAAGACCCTGGAAACCTCTAGAAGAGACCAGCCTTTCCAAAGTAGGGGGAGGGCAGCCCCTCAGGAGGGCTAGAAGAGGAATGACAAGTACAAACAATAGAAGGTCTTTTGAACGAAGTCTGGGCAGGCCTGGCTGTGCCTTCACACAGGGTATGGATTGTCCAGGACTGCCACTCCTGCTGCCACACCACCATCTGCATGCTCGATGGCTTTGGTTCGAAGTAGATGTCCCACATGCTTGTTCATCACAAGCGTCTTTCCCTGCCTATAGAAATGGGGGCAGGAGACATACAACTCCATCACCTGGACCCAGGCCCCAAACCCAAGGCCATCCTAGGTCCCAGATGAGCAGTACATGGGTGACTGGCTACACTTGAGAAAGTGCTAGGATTCTGCAATCAGATTTGGGTTTGCAACCTAAATTGGATATTATTAGCTCTGTTTCTTTGAGCAAGTTACTCAGCCTTTCTAAATAT